CTCGATTATCCGTGTTTGCGATTAACCGTGCCCATTCTTCCGAACATTTTTAAACATAATACTCGATATCGACAATCGTATTAATGACATTTTTGACGATAACTTCATATTTTAAGCCCTAATAACTTGTAGTAGGTATACAATATTATGGATGTAGGACGTATGTATAACATTATTGTATGTATACGTCTTCTTATGTATATTTCTAATTACAATTGAATCAAAATTTTTAAAATTTCATTATTATAAAATTGTACCTAGGTATTTCCAATTATAATTAAATAAAAAATTTCATTATTATAAAAAGTCTCGATTAACCGTGATTTTCATTTATCCGTGTGACCCTCTCCCCATCATTACCCCGGATAATCGAGGTTCTACTGTATATAACTATTAAAAAGAATATATTAGACATTGATATTACGCCATAATTTATTTAATAATATTAACACACAAAAATATTAAGTTTTTAAAAAAGAAGAAAAAAATATAATGTTCACAAAATAACATTTTTCAAATAGAATAGAAGAAAAAAACTATCAGCTATAAATGTAGTGGTAAGAAAAATGGTAGTAAGTGAAAAGTATTTAGAACAGTTAAAGAAAGTTAGTATTTTTGTGCAACTAAGAGGTATTTTTAGAACTTAAAATTTAAAATGTTAATTCTTTAAGGCTTATGTTAATATTAAACTTTCAAATACTAGATTTATTTTGATTTCATCTAATCACTGATTTCAAATAACAACAAAAATAATATAAATACCTAATTAAAGATTCTGTCCATGTAATGTTAGGGAAATATGCGACCACTCTTTCTAGAGACAAACTAAAAGATACTAAAGTGTCTTCATTAGAAGACTGTATTACATCAGATATATATAAGTTTGACAAAGTACGAGTGTGAGCTACAGCAACCATTATTCTATTAGCAGTGATATCTGCAATATGATAATCACGTCTGTCAAGTTCAGTGTCAAACCGAGTACGGACAAAATTTCCTCCTTTGTAGCTAACCAATAAATCTAAATTATTCTAAAAAAAAAAAAAAAAAATACTTGCATTATTGTACAACTTTAATTATTTAAATTTAGATAAATATTTATGAATTAATAACATTTGTATTCAATACCTTTGAAAGTTGTACAGTCACAAACATGTAGTCATCTCTTGCTTTTAATTGTAATACATTAATAGCTAAAGTAGTTAAATTATTTTGACCAGAATTGATATTTTCTGAAACAGCAATTACAGTGGATGTTGTTGCTGATTCTTCACGTTGTATAATCAATGAACGTCCACTTTTATACAAATCCCATTTTGATGGAATCCAGAAATATGATTTGACACGCTCTTCGAGCAAATTCCATGTGATACCAAAATCATGAGTTATCCATAACTAAAAAAATAAGAAATATTACAATAAAAACTAAAATGGTTCAATCATTTTTTTTATTTTTTACTGCATTAATTTTAAGTAATTCTGTTTATATGGCTCATATATTGAACTAAATGTTATTCACACTGTTTTATATTCAAATATGTAATGTTTTATGTAACAAAATAAAAAAATTTCAATATGCTTTTTGCAATACAGTGGTGCACTATATTAGTGCTTTACTTCAAATTTGATTATAATATAAACTCAAATTTCAGATTTAAAGTTTTGTGGTGATAAAACACTCTTAATTACAAAGAAATTAAAGGTTTTTGAGAAAACTTATGGTTTTGTTATTCTAGTCCATCTTTTAAAAAAAAAAATATTTAATTTTTTTTGTTTGTAGTCAAAAGAATTAATATCTATAAAACTTTACAAAAGTTATTTAGCACTTCACAACTGTTGATTGGAACAATTATTTATGAAAGGCAATGATAACATAATAATTAATAACTTTATCCACCACATGTATGTTTGTAATACATTAACAGTCAATTGACTGCTAGAGTAGCTGAAAAGTATCAAAAAAGGATAAATACTTCATTAATTATAAATTTATAAATAATAAAGAAAAGACAAAAAAAAGCATTAAAATTGGTTAATTGAGTTTAAATTATCCTTTTTTATAATACTCTAATTTCATCATTATTAATTATTACATTAAAATGAGAGAAATAATAAGTAATTTCAAATTAATAAATCAATCTTTGTAAACATTTTAATAATCCACATTTAAAAATAAGATTATATTAAATTTATCAAGTTAAAAAATATTTATTTGATATTAAAATTTGAAATATAAAAATTCAAAGATAATATTTGACACAATTTATTATTAGTAGAGTTCCAATCTGAAAGCAAAAGCGTTTTTTATAAATAATAATTATAGAAAAATAATTGTTCTATAAAAATGTATTTCATTTGATATCCAAGATATTGGATGTATTTTTTTTCCTTTTTTGTGTTTAATTTTTAATTGATCTGATAGTTTTAAACATAGCATACATATTGGTAAAAATCGATAAAAGTTTGTGAAGAAGGTGCATTATCGATGTTATGTTTAAAATTATTTTGAGTGGATTTTATTATCGGTAATATGTATTGATATTGCTAAATACTTTATCGAGTACCTATTTGGTATAGCCAGTTAATTTAACATTTATAAAAATACCCATACTATCCACATATAGATTAAAATATGTTCATAATGCATAGATTCAAGAAGTTTGTCAGTCTGTATTCGTCAATCAAAACTATTATCATTTAATAATTTTTCTACGTTACATTATGTCAAAAGTTAAACAAAGTGACAATTATTTTGAAGTTAAAAAAAAAGGAATTCAATAAAAATAATTTTTTCAATAAATTAATTTTATACTGTAAAATTTGTTACGTTAACATATCAAATGAATACAATTTTAAATGCTTTATTTATTTATTATATTGCCTTCAAATTCAAACCCTAATTATTGGTAATTAATTATAAGATATACAAAACTTATACCATCCTTATTGATCACCACTTATTAATCTAGCCCTAGTAGATTAGGAAAGTAAATTATGAATTTGTATTTCTTTAGGGAAGGGGTGACAAATACTCTTAAAGACACCAGTCTTAGCTCAATAAAAAAAAAAAAAAAAAAAACTATAATTGATTTAAGCACAATCAAATAAAAGCCCTAAGCCTTACATTTTATAACCCAAAATCTGGAGTGAAATCAAAATATAAATAAGTATTAAGTCCAAGAATTAAAACCAGAACTGAAAAACTAAAAGGTTCCTGTCCCTGATAATAATATAAATATTAAAACATCCTGTTAGGATCAAATAAATTTCTCCACAATCAATTCAATTTGAAGGACAGGAAATGAAAATTATAGATATGGGTACCCTACTAACATCCTACATAAATGCTGACCAACGTTATTTAAAATTATAATAGTACTAAAAAAAGTTAACATGGCAATGATAAAATACGAGTGTCGATTACAATATGACCTTAAAATAATATAAATAATATGATAATATTTAAATATAAATTGTACGTACTTGTTTTGTAGGGTTAACTTTGTCATGGACAATAAACACAAGTGGTTCATCAGGCTTATAAGTCACTTCACTGGGCATAAATGACAGTGGAATAGATTTGATAGTTTTGCTATGATCAGTTGTTGTGAATATTTTACGATTAGTTATATCTGTATATACACACTTTAGAAGAAAACAAATAGTTAATAAACATATAAACCATAATTAAATAATAAAAATTTACATGTGTTTTAAAGGTAGGATGAATGTAAAATTTCTCAATAGAAGCATATAGATTTTTAGTAGCATCTATTTTAAATTCTTCCGTCTTATTAACATAGGTATCTCCATAATCATATGATATGTATACAGATGAAGAAGGATATCCTTCACGCGCCAAACATATGATAACATTTGAGTTTTCACCAACCCAGTGTACCATCAATTGTTGCCGAGTTTCATTTAAATGAAAAACCTGAAAAAGTTGAATTACTATTTAATAATAATTTAATTTTAAAAATAATTGTAAATAAATTATCTAATATATTAGTTTTCCTTGGCACTCAATTTAATAAAAAAAAAACTCTTATTAGATACCTATTAAGTACCTACTTACCTATTTAATTAAAACAGACTTCTAAATATTTAAAAAATGTTAATAGGTACCTAATTATTTTAGTAATAACATATACTATAATATACTGTTTTTAATTTTAGCAAGTTTTTAAAATTATTTCAACATATTAAATTTCAATCAATTTTTCTTCGGAATTTACCTACCCTAATTATCTTATATATCTAAAAACAAAAATAATAAACAAAACTATTATACCTATATTTTTAAGACTATGAATTTTTTTATTTTTTTTTTTATGTCATTCATAATATATACAAATCATATTTGCTTTTAAGATCTTAAATTTTAAAAATATTTATGATAGATTTAAATATTTTGTGTTATAACTCAAAAGCTAATCAAATAAATAACCTATAGTGAGAAATAATTTAAAATTTAATTTTGGTTTCTTTAACATTTAAAAAGCAATATATTAACTCTTAGATTAGTATTGACATATATTCACTAAAATTGGTTTGTATATGCTACTGATAAATAATGTATATTTATGTAGAGGTTGTGATATTTCAATATTTAGTTAGTGTACTTTGACATAAAAAAATAAAGAATTTAATAAGTATGTACCTACCTACTGTAATCTGTAAATAAGCATTTCCATTCCTGTCTATAAAATGCACATAACAACATAAATACATGTCATTACTTTAGATAAATTAAAACTGAATTATTCAACTTATTTAAAATAAATTCACTATATATGGACTATAGACAAAAATAATAAATTTATTAAATTACTTTAGTGAAAAATAGACATTTAACCTTCTAAAAAAACTTTTAAAACATTAAATATCTACTTGCATAGATAATTAAAACAAAAAAACTATGTAAATATGTAAAGTATATCAATTATTAAAGAACAATAGCATACTTCCAGAATAATTTAAACATACCTATGAAAAAACTGTAGGTATTATTTAAATCTTTGATAATTTAAGAAAACTTATCGCTTAATAATAATAAAATTTATTATACAATAGATATAATTAGGTACTTAGATAAGTAGTACACTGTTATATTTTAAACATTTGTTACTATTATCAAGTGAAAGTATGGGTAACATACTCGTATAATACTACATAGTGAGTTTATTATAAAAAAATATTTGGTATTTTATTGTTTCATTAATAAATACCTATTTTTTAATTTTAAATAGAAAATTAAATTTACCTATTTTAAATTGAATAAAAAAAAAAATTTAGAAAGTAATTAACAGTAAAACTATAGGGCACTAATAATGTTAAGATAGGTATTATGTTCTGTAATCAATTCCCTAAACAAAACAAAAAAAAAAAGGTTGAAAATATAAAAAATATATAGTAGGTACTAGGTAAATCATAAATAAATAAGTATATATATACTAATTATTTATAAATTAAAACAATGCTCAGTTTTAATACTTTCCTTATATATAATTTGGATACTTATCTGTTACTTGCCACTGACCAGTATTGATTTACGTGGGTTTACAATTTTTAATATTATATATGTACCGGTAAAGTGGTGAATATAGGCACTCTATAAATTCCCTAGGAATTCTATAGAATTCCTTGAACTATTTGGCAATGAATTAAATTGAATAGTAATTTATATTATGCCTAGGTATTTTATACAATTCTTGAGATTTCTATAAAACGCCTATACAATTTTAGGTAATGTGTTAAACCAAAATATGTTTATTATTATTTATTTATTGCAGCATAAGTATTTTTCGACTTTTCTCAAATTTTTTTTAGTTCAACAAAAAAACGTTCAGACATTTTAATGTATCTTAATATGACAAACACTTTTACAAAAATGAAAATAAATAATATTTTTAAAGACGTATATTGAATTTTTCTGTATACATGAATAACATGATTATATTATTAGCTAATAATAACGATAATACATCGCACACGTGTTGTATGCGATAGCATAATCGTCAAGATAAACATTAATCGTTGATTACAGAGATACACTAGGTACAAATCTAAGTTTTATATTAATTATTTATACTTTTCCTGCTTGAGATTAGGTGATTTATAGAATACCTAGGATTTCTATATAATACTGGATTAAACACATTTCTGGTAACATATAGATTAAATTTTAACACATTTAATACATATATATTTTACTATTGATAGATATTATTTATTATAATATTATATGTGCTTCTGTTATCTGGTACCAATTATATTTTAAAAGGTCAATGCACTATTTGTTTACCTCTCTCTAGCTCACGGCAACAAAGGACAAAACAAGTTCATGCCAAATTATTTATTTTTTTTATTTTTGAGTAGGTACCTAATTTTAAAGTACCTATATGTTTACCCATTATAAAAATTATAGAGAATAATAATTTTAAGCCTGTTTGGAAGAGTATAACATATTGATTTATTTAAATATTATTTTAAAACTAAATAATATCTATATAAATTTATAAAATTAATTTTTAATTTTTTAAGCCAAATATAAAATATAAAACTGATTTGTCAAACACTTAAAATTACTATTCTTTATAATTTTTGTAATTGGTGAATTTACTTTAACTTTAAAAATAGATAGGTATTTAAAAATCATAAAAAAATAACTTTATGCATTAAATGTGTTTTATTTGTTTAGTCTATTTGAAAGAAAAAAAAATTGTGCTGATAACCTCTTAGCAAATATATCACAGTATAGGCTTCCAATTTAATAATAATATTTATTGTATATTTTGTTATATTTTTAATTAAATAAAAATTAATTTTATGTACTAAATGATTGGTTAATTGATCAAGTCTCTTAATCACACTATTTTTGGTGGGGTGATAAGATTTTTAGATTCTGTAGCAGTGATAACAGACCAATACAAATATTATTACTAGCTGTTTAGCTATAATCACATACAAAATAATCAATTCTCAATAATACAAAGGATGTATATTATACTACACTCAGTAACTTTTTTTTGTACCTATATAATTTCTTTTAAAATTAGAGATAACCATCCAGACGTAGTCACAAAAAATGTATCCCAATTATTATCTTTTCAAAAGGTTGAAAAGAACATGATGTAATAATATATGATTTTATATAATAAATAAATAATAAATTACAGATATTAATTAATTTATCAAACAAAAACATTAATAATCAATTAAATATATTAGTATAGATACTAAGTAGATATGAATAATACGGTACCTACTATTAATTTTATATATTATAACGAGTAAGTAATCAGATTTGGTTATTTAAATTTATGTTTGCATAACGAACTTGAAATGATAATTACAAAATACATACATTAACGTCTTGATAATCAGTAAAATATAAGCACTTATAAAAGGAAATTAATTAATAAAAAGATTAGGTATAGACACAACATGACATAATTATTGTTTGTTATGATTCAAAATGTATTACGTACAATAATTATTAATAAGAAAACATATCAATGAATTGTATCTAGTCTTACAACCTAGATACAAGTTACACCTGAAAAACATTAAAAATCTAAGCTAATATTAAAATCTAAAATTATTCATTTTGTTTTAATTTCATATAGATAGATAAAATTAAAGTTTAAGGCTTAGCAATTCAAGGTAACTTATAAGTGATCATTTAGTTCAAACATTTAGGACGAAACACGTTTACTTAATTCATTCTATACCTGTTCCATACCGGTTATTTATCAAACCTTATTAGGTATCCTAATTCAAAAGAGCAAATTTTGAACACAACATTCATCATCTTGATCCATATCTATCTGGATCGATTTATAAAAACGTCTCGTTTGTATGTCTAGGTGAATGTGTCGTTGTACTATGAATGTTCACAACTACAACTACATCGTTCGCACAGGTGCTTACCGCTATGAGCAGATAGTAAGCACTAAATAACGATTTCGGCAAGTATGACAAAACACTCACTTTAGACGTCAAGTTCCCGTCGGAGACGCCGGGCAGTATCGACGGCGGCGACGACGACGTAGTCAAGCTCTCCCGTTTGGTCCTGGCACGGTTGGCGGACGAACCGTAATCGACGACGACGTCGTTGACGAACGGCTGCGGTACGCGCGTACGGTCGTCGTCGGTGTACACGGACAGCGACCAGACACCGGACACGGTTGCGGCCAACGCCGCGCAAACGTAAAACAAAATGGTTTTCATGGTATCGTTCACTGTGTCGTCAGTACGGCAGTGTACACTTCGAAACGGAACATAATAATAACAAAAAAAAATATATTATACGACAAACGGCGGCACAAGTGGGTAGAACGGACGGCAGAGAAGAAGAAACGCTCAAGCACGCGAAGCACGTCGGCGACGGACTGTCGTTGTACGCGAGAGTCTATCTGTCCGTTCGCGGCTAACTCGAACCACCGCCACCACCAACCACCACCACTACCGACACAGGCGGAAGCGATCTGATACGGACGACGGTTTAGTGGTGGTAAACGAATACGGCAGATGCAGTTATTGACGGACAATCGGTTTTCGTGCGCTGGTCGCAGACGCGGTCGCCGTTGTCGCCGTCCCACAACAACGTCGGTCGCGGTTCGCACTCTATCATCTGTTATCGCTGATAAGTGTGATAATGAACGTTCAGCGTTTAACAACAATCGTAGTAATAATAATAATATTGTAGATATTATATTATTTTGATGAGTAATATAATATTATTATAAACGCGCGGAAGAAACGCTGATTTATTGTTATTATTATTATTTTTATTTTAACGTATTGACAACAACAACAACATTAATAATAATTGTCGTAATACTAAGTAGTTTAATACGCGTAGGTAGCCTGCTGCTACGGGGGGGAGAGGGCAGATAAGACGAACCGACGCACGCACGCGCACGACTTTTCGCCAAAATAAAGTGTGCAACACCCACACACACACACGCGCGCGCGCGCGCACGCACACCCCACGGGAACGCCGCGCGCACTCTGTCAAGAGTGACGACACTGGGTGGGCGGTCGGTGGTAGATGCGTTTTTGCTGATGCGCGTGTGTGCACGCACGTCTCATCTGCCGCCTAGCGATTTGCGGGCCTGCGGCTGTTCGCCGTCGGCCGCCGCCGCCGCAGCCCCGCGATCGCCGAACGCGGCTGAAGATCGCGCGCCGTCGTCATGGAACCAACGCGAGATACAATAATTATTATTCCCGACGACCCGGTCCCGCGGGTTTCGTCCATGACGACTGCAACACTGTCATCTTAATATTTTTTATTTATAGTCACTGCTACAACACTCGTGACTCGTAGCCGCGTCCGTCAGGCGCATAAAACGATAAACGATATTAATATCGCGTGTGTGTGTGTGCCGTATGGGTAAATTAATTATTATTATCAATGTACAACGTACCTATTTATACGGATTACGAGTTTAATAATGTATCGCGGCGCAACCCTCGGCCTCGATCGCTATAAAACGGAAAAGATTCTCTCGATTTTCCACGGCAGGCGGACAGTCTTCCCGAAAACTATTTTACAGTTAGGTACTCGCATAATCGAAGACGCGTGGGATGCGACGATGAATTAATGTAGGTAATTCTAGGAGTCTATAGCGACTAGAACCTAGTATACCTGGTATACATAATACCTACTTAAATATCATTATAGAGACGAACACAATACGTGGTATGATATGAATGCTAAAGTTATTGAACCATTAGAGTCACTTTAGAAACCCGTTTGTTGAACACGAAATAAGATAGTTTCAAAATATTTTGACTCACAGCTATTTATAGACATTTGAAATTATTGGATTTTTTTATTTTTTTTATGTCAATAAAAATATTTTTTCTCGGTCAACTCACTTTAAAATTTAACACAAGATCCCTCGTAAATACATTGACAGAATTTTTTTTTAGTATGCGTTCGAAGACAAAGTACATAATATGTTTACAAAATTTGTCCCAATTATGACTATTTACTAACTTCAACTATTTTAAAATCAAAAATTTATAAAATATTCAATTTTCACGACTAAAGTTTAAAATACATATATTACCACATATATTTTTTGTTAATAGTTATACTGGAACCAAAAAACTATTTTTACACTATAAAATTTTTAAAATATGTAGATTAATTTTTTTTCGATTTGAAAGGGAACCGGAGTTATTAATTTTTATATTGCCTATTTATGGTTTTAAATATACCGTAATGAATCTATCCACATTTTTTTACGGTAAGATGGTAGTGACTCAAAGATTAATAATAATATTATAATAGTCTATAGTATAAATGTATATTATTATAATTTATAATAGCTAACACTATGATAATTTAATAAATTCAATGTTTTTGGGAAAAGTTAAATCAATATATTGTGATACATCACCGTCTTCACTCAAATTTATTGAATTCAAATTCATTTTAGACTATAGTGTTCATTCAACACTTACCGCCGTGTAATAACAGAAGCTGTAACACGATTGCGCCAGCCTTACCTTTTTACATGAAAAAAACGCAACACGATAGCGCTCTTCAAAGTAAGACGAGTGAGACCCTTTTACTTCAAAAAATACTACACGATTGCGCTCCATGAAGTATAAATGTTGTGCTTTTAACAATTTATTAATACACTATTTAAAAATATTAATTCATAACAACATACATAATACACTAATAAGTAATATGTATAAAATAATAAAGACAACATTTTCAAAAGCGGTACCTTATAAATTTTAATAAAATAATCGGATATTCAATTTAAAGTACGTGAATTGGCGTATGCAATTTTTTATGTATTAATAAAATTTAAATAGTGTATAATATCATAGTATAAAATAATTTTCAACAAATCCAAAAATTTATTTTTTATTATCAGTCCTAAGCTTATAAAATTGAGAAGGAAAATTAATTGTAGGTAGAAAAAAAAGTTATGAGTAATTCAACAAATATTTTTTATGAGTGACTATGAGCATCTAAATTAATAACCATGGTTACTTTAAATGTGCATTAAGTGTTTATATTGTTTATACAAAGTGTGACAGTATAGGTTCTGACGAATTTAAAAGTGCTATAGCTATATTCAATATTCATCCTTGTACATTAAGTGATAAGATAAACTGGTTTGTTACTAGACTAAAGTTCATTTTACATTATCATCAATAATTAATCATCACCACGTAACTTGTAAACCAATACGATTTATGAGCATACGGCATAATATTGACAGTAGATTTCGTTCATTGTATAGTAGGTAACCTACCTATAGTGGTTTTCAACTTTTTTTAAAACACGGCACACTCTACTCTTGACAAAATGTTTACAGCTCTACACATCTCAGCCATGATGAACAATTTTAGTTGACCATTGAAAATTATGAAGGCCACTTATAATGTCCTCTTCAAAAATTAATATTTTATTAATAACAATTAAATACTAGTATATCGTTGTGTTGAATAAAATATAATTTGTTTCAACATGCTTTGTCTTTAATGTTTGCCTTGTCAACATAAATTAAAATTCATTTGAAATCTGCAATATCTTGTACCTATTATGTAGTATTTTCTATACATAGTTAATAGTTATTGTATACTTAGTCTAATCAAAAAAATATTTTGATTTTTTTTTAGCTATTTATAGACATTTGCAATTTCAATTTTTATTGAAGTATGTATTCTTTGAACGAACGAAAATGATTCAAGAAAAATTTTTACTCATTCCAAAAAGGTTGAAAACTGAAAAAGTTTCTCATAATTACCTTATACTGAAAATTAAAATTCGAAAAAATTAATATAATTTAAACACAATTTTTTTTTTATAGATATTTGAAGTTTAAATTTGAACAAAATTTTGTGAATAACCGAAGAAGAACGATTTTAGCTATACCTATTATTGTAGATATCTGATAGAAAAGTATAATTCGCGTGGTCTTGAAACTTTTAATTCATTGTATATATTTTAAATACACAATTGCATTTTTTTTTAAATTAGATTAAATTGTATGCTATTGCATTTTAATATACCACAAACCATTATACGGTAAGTATTCATTCAAAAGTTAACAACAATCTAATATTATATAAATACATACTGTTACAATAATTATAAACTAATAATATAATAAATGCAATGATTTCGATAAAAATTAATTCAACATACTGTATTACTTTAATTATAAAATTAATTTCTGCAATAGCAATATAAATACATCACAATATATAGGTATTAATATATAGGTTCATAGACAATCTTTCCTTAGAATTTTTTCCGTATATTTGATTTATCATTTAATTCAAATTTAACATAAACATTTTAGACTTATTCAATAACAAGGTATTTAATATCTACATAATGTATAGCAGAACCGTAGTGGTTATGCTCACTTTTTCTCCTTTTAAGGGTGTTTTCTTTAAAACATTAAATTCGGTCATGTTATTATATTATATAAATTATTGTATTACCTACAATTATCGAGCTTAAAATAAATAAAAAATTTTAAATTTTTGATATCGGCTAATATATTTTTATTTTTAAGAAGTAGGATGTGCCTAGTTGTCAATCAAGAGTTTAGGTATATAATTAACTTTACCGACGAGGTAAGGGCTTTTAAAAATATAATTACACGAAAGTCTCAAATTTTTTGTATTACGTTACTGGCTATAAGTTATAACATACAAAACTTAATAAATTATAATAATATATTAGTCTTTGATGAAGGCTCGATAACTATCAATATAGTATTTTGTATTACAAGTAGGTACACTGCAAAAGTCATAAACTCATAACGTTTTCAATATTTCAATAGGTTAGTATTAATGGCCATAAAAGTAAATAAAACAAAATATGAAAACAATTCTTGTTTAATAATCTGGGAATTATAGTACATTATATAGGACAACTACAATGTCGACCGACGTTAAGAATATAATTAAATATTATTAATTAATTAGATAAATTACAATATTTTTCATTGGGTATATTACCTATAGTATACTAATCGTAGTTATTGTAATAAACTAAAATATTTATTTTGACTTTTTAATAAATAAAATGTAAATAATAATCAATTATAAATATTAATATATGTTATTATATCAATAGTTATGCATAATTTGAAAAAAATCCTGTATAATATATAATATGTATGGATTACATATTATAATTCCCATGTAATTATCTAAATGATTCAAACACCTATTACGCTGTTAAATTAAAAAGCTGATATCATACACTGTTTTAAAGTGCGAACAAAACACTTAAAATAAGTAGGTGTATTATATATGATCATAAAAATGACTGAACGTAAGATTGATAGCTAAAGTCAGAAATTTAAAAAATAAACTCTCATTTAAAATTTTTAGTTGACGTATTTTAAATTTTTAAATAGTACTTTGTAATTTAAAACTATGATAATTTATCATTATTTACATTATATCATTGCTAATAGTCAATATCGGTAGATGTATATAAAAGCTACTTTAGTTGTGTAAAAATGATTTGGTGATACTTCTATACATGTTTTAATTTATCCAAACAATATTTTTACGGTAAGTAGTCATTGGTACATTTATACAGAATTTTGTTCGTTGAACAATTACTATATTAAACATTTTCAAAAAACTATTATTAT